GATCTAAAGGGGGCACAAACAAAATTTCTGAAGCGGGGGACAAAAAATAAAAAGGTGATGAGAGTACAGTAACAAAAAATATAGCCTATAAAAGCTTGAACATCAGACTGGGGGAGTAAGAAATAAGTGAATGTACATGTATTCAGATATTTTGGGGCAAATGTACGTATTTGCAAATGAGTTTATGAAAGGCAAAGGAAGCGTTGAAAGGTAGGCAAATTATTGAAATGGCTTGTAGAGTGAAATTTGTCAATGGATACAAAAAAAGGGAATGTACCAAGAGTATAACAGTGCCAACACTTGTATATGGGTGTGAGCTATGATCTTTAAATGTTGCATCGAGGAGGAAAATTTTGGACTTAGTGGAGATTTCATATTGGAGCTCAGTCTGTGGTGTGAATATTATTCATTGTTATTATAATCACAACTAAGAGCTAAACCCATAAGGGATGAATATTATTCAATAAGTAAAGAATGTTCTCCATGGGGAAGTGGAACAGAATTCTTCCTCCGTAAGCCATGCGCGTTGTAAGAGGCAACTAAAATGCCGGGAGCAAGGGGCTAGTAACCCCTTCTCCTGTATATATTACTAAATGTAAAAGGAGAAACTTTTGTTTCTCCTTTTGGGCCACCCCGCCTCGGTGGGATGTGGCCGGTGTGTTGAAAGAAAGAAGAAAGAAGTAAAGAATGTGGAAATTAAATGATGATGTGGGGTTATGAGAGGTATAATCCAGAGGGTGGAAAGAAGGTTGAGATGATTTGGTATCTTGGAAAGGAAGGAGCAGAATTGATTTACCAAAAGGTTCATGTATCAGAGGTTGATGGAAAGCCTAAGGCTGGGCTCTGAGAGTAGAAAAACTCAAGGAACTCACCAAAAGTACTGTTTATCAAAGGGTTGCCCCATGATGAGTGGGAGGAAGAGGTAGAGGAGTTTTTTTTTAGTGATAACCATTAAGAACATCTAGCAAGTATATGGAAGTATGCTACATCAGTGGAGACAAATTGTTTTTTGGGATCTGAGACTGCTGGACTATGAACAAGGTAACATTTATGAAAAGATTCTGGAAAGCTTGCTCTGGTGGCCTGGTGGTTAAAGCTCTCGCTTCACACGGTGAGGGCCTGGGTTCGATTCCCAGCCAGAGTAGAAACATTGGACATGTTTCTTTCCACCTGTTGTCTATGTTCCCCATCAGTAAAATGGGTACCTGGGTGTTAGTTGACTGGTGTGGGTCGCATCCTGGGACACTGACCTAAGGAGGCCTGGTCACAGACCGGGCCGCGGGGGCGTTGACCCCCGAAACTCTCTCCAGATAAACTCTCCAGATAAAGCCATGTAGGTGTGAGGTAGAGTGCCTACACTCTGAAGAATGAGTGGGGATGTAACGATTTGGAGGGTTAATTGAATTGTGAAAGTGTTTCCTGTTCTTGGTCACCTTAACTTGGTAGAAAGCAGATGTTGTAAAGGGAAAATGTTTCAGCTATAAACTTCTCAGATGCAGGAACTAATTTTCTGTATTAATTACCAACTAATTAATTTAGAATGAAGAAATGTACCTTTTGAGTCTCTCATACCCACTCATACAATACCTCAGACATCACTAAGTCTAGTGTTACTGTGTATATATTTGATAGATCATCACCTCTTCATCCTCACTGTCTATGTCATCCTCGTCTTGTATCCCATTCTCTTGGGATTCCTCATCCTCTTCATCAGCCATGGCTGCCAGTTTCTTATTTGTGTACTGCTTCACAGCTGCCTTTATTGCTGTTGTGGAGAGAATTCCAATGGGATGAGTTGTAGATTTCACAAAGCACTATACCTACTTAACCCTTTCAGGGTCCAGAGGCCAAATTTCAAAGTGTGCACCAGGGTCCAAGAATTAAAAAAAAAAAAAATTAATTTTTTCTTATGAAATGGCAGAGAATCTTTTTCTGAAGGTAATAAAACAAAGTATGAAATTTGATGGAAAATTGACAAAATTATGCCTCTCACGAATTTTGATGTGTCAGCAATATTACGCATCGGCGATTTTGCCGACTTTGACTCCTAGTTTAGGCCAATTACATTATTCCAGTCGACCAAATTCTTAGATATTTCACTAGTATTACTTCTATTATATCAAGTGAGCACAAGAAATTGCCAAGTCATGTGTTTTAACTACAAAATAAAGTGATCAAAAATTGGTAATTTCGCCAATTTAATGCAAAGTTCAACATATTCCAATTTCAAAATAGGGTCCAGAATAAACAATGCAGGCATTCCTGGCACTAAACTAACATGTCCTCTATTCATTAGTTACGTTTTGAGCTTATCAGATAAGCTGTGAGAGGTAAATTTGGGCCTAGAGAATGCATCTATGTGGTGAATGTGCACCATTCGCTGGGTCACCATCTGGAAAAGACCCGGGCCGGGACAAGACCACTGAACCTACTACATCCGTGCACCATGTAAAACAAACCCTGCAGCGCACAGTGCATGAGAAAAAAAATGTGACTGTGTTTTTTGGATTAAAACACCGACTTCACAATGTATTTTCATATGGTTTTTACGTTGTATTCGCAGTTTCTTCATCTCATTTAATAGAATGGAAGTTATATTACTGAAATAGAGATGATTTTGATTGGTTTTAGTACTGAAAATAGCTTGAAATTGAGCTCAAAGGAGAGGAAATGTTTGATTTTTGCAGATTCAAGAGTAAACAATATACGTATATAGGGTCTACTATATGTTCATGAATGTGCTGATATTATTTATACAATTATTACAATATCGTATAACAGTAAATCTTATATTCTTTGGTGTGAATAAAAATTCTTTATGTAAATAAAAAATCAAAATGGAATTCATCTGTAAAGCCTGGAAACATGACTAATAAACAGAGGAAATGTTATTTTAGTGCCATGAATGCCTGCATGGTTTATTCTGGACCTTATTTTGAAACTGGAATTTGAACTTTGTGTGAAATTGGCCAAATTACCAAATTCTGATCACTTTATTGGGTGGTTGAAATAGTTGATTGGGCAGCTTCTTGTGCTCCATCGATAAAATAGAGGTAATACTAGTGAAATAGCTAAGAATTTGGTTGAGTGAAATAATGTAATTGGCCTAAAATAGAAATCAAAGTGGGCAAAATTGCCGATGCATAAATATCGACGCAGTAAAATTTGTGAGTGTAATTTCGTCAATTTTCCATCAGATTTCGTACTTTTTGTTTTATTACCTTCAGAAAAAGATTCTCTACCATTTCATAAGAAAAAATAATTTTTTTTTTTTAATTCTTGGACCCCTACCTTTCCTTTCTGCTTTTCTCTCTAGTGGTATCAACACACCATCATCATCATCTCTATAACCATAATAATCAGCATCAATGTCTTTCATCAACTCTCCACGGGTCTTGCGGGGAGGTGGCGGAGGTTCTTGCTCAAACAGCTCCCTCACTCCTGGCAGGTCTTTAGCTGCTCCAAAGTACATATAACCCCTGCAAAGATGAAACATTTCAAATAAACATAAATAACAGTTAAGGGCAAGGATGTTGTGGTTTAAACAATCATATGAACTGTGATCATTTATTAACTTTTAGCAAGAGGAGCTACTGAGTGATGTTGAATGAGTTTCCTCATTTGGTCACCTTGCCTTGATTAAAAATGGCTATAGTAGTAAAAAATAAAAAAAAGTATGTATCCTGTATTTATGTATATATGTTCCTGCATAAATTACCAAATGTAAAAAGAGGGAAAACTTTTGTTTCTTGTTTTTCAGGTCACCTTGCTTCCATGGGAGACGACCATTGTGGTGAAAAACAAATTCTTTAAGATTAATAACTTTGACCACAACACAAGACACAGATCTCTTTTTGATATACCTTGTGTCCATATCACACTGTGTAAAAACTCTATGCACATAAAGGGCCCCAAAATATGGAATTCATTACCAGAAGATATTAAAATAACCCAATCTGAAAATCAATTTAAGACTCTTCTCAAAAGCCACTTAATCACCCTAGACTAAATGTTATATACACAATATACATTTACTCACCTATGTACTCCCATATCATAATTGAAACAATCACATTGAACCTTTTATCCATTGTTGACAGGAATATAATTGAATCATTGTTTTTCACAAAAGCATTTTAGAATATAAATACGTATATCTTTGTATAATACACCCCTCAAGGAAGGTTCCTTGAAGTTGGTGAGGGGCTCTTGATTTAGGGAATTGGATCTGTGCTCCAGTTCCCCGAATTAAGCCTGAATGCCTTCCACATCCCCCCCCCGGGCGCTGTATAATCCTCCGGGTTTAGCGCTTCCCCCTTGATTATAATAATAATTTGTATAATACAAATTTTGATTCATTTATAATTAATATTCTACTGTACAACTATGAAATAATTACTTTCCTACTGTACAACTATGATATACTACTCCTTAGTATTAAGTAGAATGTAAGCCAATAATGTTAAGTTGGCCCATAATGCCAAGGCATAATTGAGGCTCTCTTTGCATTGCAACCCACTATTGCATATAGACAATCTCAATGTACTGTTTGCAAAGACATTAAATAAATAAATAAATAAAGCACAATAGATCATAAAGGCAGAGTAACTTCAAGACTGACAAATTCAATGCACCTATTACTATAAGACTGTTTTCGAAATGAACACAAATCTTTTTATGTAGCATGATTACCCAAACTGTTGACCCTTGAAGAACACGGGTTTAAACTGTGTAGGTCCAGTCTTCTTTCAACAAAACGGCAGTATCCCACCGAGGCGGGGTGGCTCAAAAGGAAAAGCAAAAGTTTCTCCTTTTAAATTTAGTAATACTACATACAGGAAAAGAGGTTACTAGCCCCTTACTCCTGGCATTTTAATCGCCTCTTACGACACACACATGGCTTATGGAGGCAGAGTTCTGTTTCACTTTCCCACAGAGCTAAGAGGAAATAAACAAGAACTAGCAAGAAAATAGAAGAAAACCCAGAGGGTTGTGTATATATATGCTTGTACATGCATGTGTAGTGTTATCTAAGTAGAAGTAGCAAGACGTACCTGAAACCTTGCATGTATACAAGACAGAAAAAAGAAACAGCAATCCTACCATCATGTAAAACAATTACAGGCTTCTGTTTCACACTCACTTGGCAGGACAGTAGTACTTCCCTGGGTGGTTGCTGTCTAACAACCTACTACCTACGAACATAAACATATGGTATTGATAAATTTAGTACAGTATTGTATTTTCTGCCTTAAGATTTTCTTAACATTTTCTTTTCTCTGACTTATTGTATTGTAAGAATACAGTATATAATACATATGACATACAAAAATGTGTGTTAATCAACTGCTTATGTTATTGGTAAGGCTTCTGGTAAACTGTAGGCTATTAGTAGTCAAGTTTTTGGGGAGTCAAAAGTTGTACACGGATTTTCAACTGTGTGGGGGGTTGGCGTCCCTAACCCCACCTTGTTCAAGGTTCAACTGTATTGCTAAAAACAGAAAATGCTCAATAATGAACCATTCGTCCAACCAATATAAAGGTTAACCGAGAATTTTCCATTTTAAATAGAACCTTGTTTGGTTCTGTTTGGATCACCGCTAAATTGGCTATACATGTATATATTTCTTCAGGCTTATGAATCTAGCTTGTTAGTTTTTGTAGATGTGCATGACTTAGGTAGACTCTAGTGTCTTAATAACCTAGGATTGTAGCAGCTTCTAGATGTGGCAGTGGTTTAGTTCTAGAGTTTATACAAGAACGAGAGATACTTTCCCGTCATTCATTCAATCACTGTCTTGCCAGAAGAGTGCTGATAAGACAGTGACTGAATGAATGATGAAAGTGTTTTTTTTTTTGTGTGTGTGGGGGGGGGGAGGGATGCATTTAACAAGAAATGTGTGCCCCATGGCACACATTTTACATGTAGTGCAAGTTGCCTAGGCCTTCAGCTTTTATCCTTCTTACCATATTGGCAGTTTCTCGCTAATAAAGGGTTATCCAAAGAAGAAAACACATTCATCATTACTCGTTCCCTATCTTTCTAGAAGTGCAAAGACATCACAATTAAAATGATGCACGGCAATGCAACATTCCCATTCATAATTTTTTTATTTAAATCTTTCAATGTACCAGCCGTATCCCATTGAGGCAGGGTGGTCCAAAAGGAAAAACTAAAGTTTTGCTTTTTAAATTTAGTAATACATACAGGAGAAGGGGTTACTAGCCCCTTACTCCCAGCATTTTAGTAGCCTCTTACAACACGCATGGCTTAGGAGGAAGAATTCTGTTCCACTTCCCCATGGAGATAAGAGGAAATAGACAAGAACAAGAACTAGAAAGAAAATAGAAGAAAACCCAGAGGGGTATGTATATATATGCTTGTACATGTATGTGTAGTGTGACCTAAGTGTAAGTAGAAGTAGCAAGACATACCTGAAATCTTGCATGTTTATGAAACAGAAAAAAAGGACACCAGCAATCCTACCATCATGTAAAACAATTACAGGCTTTTGTTTTACACTCACTTGGCAGGACGGTAGTACCTCCCTGGGCGGTTACTGTCTGCCAACGTACTACCTATTTATTTAAAACTTTCTTTCAACACACCGGCTGTATCCCACTGAGGCGGGGTGGCCCAAAAGGAAAAACGAAAGTTTCTCCTTTTACATTTAGTAATATATACAGGAGAAGGGGTTACTAGCCCCTTGCTCCAGGCAATTTAGTCTCCTCTTACAACACGCATGGCTTACGGAGGAAGAATTCTGTTCCACTTCCCCATGGAGGTAAGAGGCAATAAACAAGAACAAGAACTAGTAAGAAAATAGAAGAAAACCCAGAGGGGTGTGTATATATGTATATGTGTAGTGTGACCTAAGTGTAAGTAGAAGTAGCAAGACGTACCTGAAATCTTGCATGTTTATGAGATAGAAAAAAGGACACCAGCAATCCTACCATCATGTAAAACAATTACAGGCTTTTGTTTTACACTCACTTGGCAGGACGGTAGTACCTCCCTGGGCGGTTGCTGTCTACCATCCTACTACCTATTTATTTAAATATCCATGTTATTTTCTCACTGTATAACACATTAATTTAAGTGCATGCTCAACCTTGGATTAAAAAAGCTTTGTGAATCTGCAAGATAAAACAAGTCAGGCTTTGCTAGAATCCAAATATTAACTTGCAAATACAGTAAACACTTTTAACCCTTTCAGGGTCCACAGGCCCTCTCAGAGACTTGTTCTCAGGGTCCCCCAATTCCCCCCCCCCCCCCAAAAAAAAAAAAAAAAAATATATAGTTTTCTTGTGAAAAGATAGAGAATCTTTTCCCGATCATAATGACACCAAAAGTATGAAATTTGATGGAAAACTTATGGAATTATGCTCTCGTGAAGTTAGCGGTCTCGACGATGTTTACGCATCGGCGATTTTGCCCACTTTGAGCCCTATTTTCGGCCAATTCCAGTGTACTAGTCGACAAAAATCATAACTATTTTGCTAGAACTCCATTTTTTCTATCGAATGAGTACAAGAAACCACCCATTTACCGATTTCAACTATCCAATACAGTGGTCAGAATTTAGCAATTTTGCCAATTTCACACAAATTTCAAAAGATGCCAATTTCCAAATAGGGTCCAGACTAAACAAGAAAGACATTCCTGGCACTAAAATAACATTTCCTCTGTTCATTAGTCACATCCCCATGCCCCTCTTACTTTCTTTTGCTTTCTATTTTGAATTTTTATTCTCGCAAAAAATAGAAGATTTACTGTTATGCCGACTACTGCATTAGTGTCGAAATGGTATAAATAATATCGGCGCACTTGTGAAAGAATATTAGACTGACCAGTTGACGTGTATTGGATGCATAGCATGATTTGTTTACTTTTAAACCTTGGTAAAAATCGAACATTTCTGCTACTTTGAGCTCAATTTCAAGGCACTTTTCATTGTAAAACCAGTCAAAATCATCTCAATTTCTGCAATATGTCTTCCATTCTATAAAATGAGACCAGGAAAACTAGAATACAACAATAAATGCCATACGAAAATACAGTGTAAAGTCGCTGTTTTAATCCAAAAACAGGGTCAAAGTTTTTTTTCTTTCTCATTACGCACTGTGTGCTGCAGGATTTTTTTTATACTGCGCACACTGACCACATAGACCCATTCTTTCATATGTAGGCCTACCAGCTCTTTCACCAGATCTGAAGGCACTAGAATTTATGAGTACAAGTACGTCAAAGACCCTGGCACGTAAGCCATACTAGTACGGCTGAAACCCTGAAAGGGTTAAACAGGACCTCACAGTAAAATTTAGTTCCAACACAATTCATAAAGGGTAACCCAAAATTTCAATAATGCAAAAATCCTGATATTATTGTTAAAGGAAATAATTTTTTTTTTTTTTTAACAAGTCGGCCGTCTCCCACCGAGGCAGGGTGACAATTTTCTTCTTCTTATTCTTTTTAGTAATCTTTACAGGAAAAGGGGTTACTAGTCCATTGTTCCCGGCATTTTAGTTGACTTTTACAACACGCATGGCTTATGGAGGAAAGATTCTTATTTCACTTTCCCATGGATATAAGTAACCTGCATAATTTGGCTAGTACACTCTGTAGTTTTATTCAATCTACCAGTGACCCACAAGTGGTCCCCCCCACCTCCAGGGGGGGGGATGAAGTCCACTATATAGCATTTTTCTTACGTGTTTTCAAAAATTTATATACAGTAACTAATTTATACAAAAGACTTGTATAAAAAGTTTGTGTTTCACTTCATCTTTGAACTGGTTATTCAAAATTATTTATGAAGTGAGGAAACCCACATGCAGATAAAGGCAGAAAAAACCCACTGATTTGTATAATTCAATCTCTGTCTGAGGTGTTCATCATCAATGCTAATGAAGTTCTCAGACTGATACTGAAATATACAGGTCAACTTTAATTCTTTGTCTACAAGTAGGTTTCTTCATTCCACTGGCAAGTGTCTATGACTATTTTTCAAAGTTATTTATGTTAAAAGCTGAAATGTCTGGTGATTCATAACAGCATTTCTCTCCATTACATTACTGCAGTTATTGTGATTAGGAAGACACTGAGAGAGGTCTGCATTACCTATGCTATGTTTTGTGTTATGTAAAAATATCATACCTGTTGCCTGGGGCTTCTTGTCCATCCATATCTGTCATTTTTGGTCCAACACGAACATAATCGGGACCACCCAGTTCCTTGATTCGTACTTCCCAGTGACCCTTTTCTCGTAGAAGCTTATTGATTTCATCATTTAAGTCTCTAATTCGGAATTCTCCCAAGCCAGCTGGTAATTAAAATAAATGTTAGACTGTAAATTAAAATTATTTATAATTATTTATCAAGGGCTTGAGTCTTCATGCTGGGAAATACAATGTCTGTACTCTGGAAAGGGAAGGGAAACTTACAGTTCAGAGAGACATTTGAACTGTGATATCTATGCATTCTGGCAAGACAGCTAAGCAATTCTTGAAACAAGTACTGTACTGTAACAAACTGGCCGTATCCCACCAAGGCGGGGTGGCCCAAAAAGAAAAACTAAAGTTTCTCTTTTTAAATTCAGTAATTCATACAGGTGAAGGGGTTACTAGCCCCTTGCTCCTGGCATTTTAGTCGCCTCTTACAACACGCATGGCTTACGGAGGAAGAATTCTGTTCCACTTCCCCATGGATATAAGAGGAAATAAACAAGAACAAGACCTAGAAAGAAAATAGAAGAAAACCCAGAAGGGTGTGTATATATATGCTTGTACACATGTGTGTAGTGTGACCTAAGTGTAAGTAGAAGTAGCAAGACTTACCTGAAATCTTGCATGTTTATGAGACAGAAAAAAGGACACCAACAATCTTACCATCATGTAAAACAATTACAGGCTTTCATTTTACACCTACTTGGTAGGACGGTAGTACCTCCCTGGGCGGTTGCTGTCTACTAACCTACCTAGAATAGAGCTAGTTGTCTGTGTTTTTCTTTTTCTTCCCCAAGTCATATTTAGTCATATTTTCAGAGGAGCATTAGCACTTTCTTGGTGGGTTTAGATGAATAATTAATGTTGAGAATGTCTTCTTTTCTGGTGTGAATAAGATCTAGCATTGATGATGTATTGCCTTCTGTTGTTTGCATCGCTTCTTTGGTGTGCTTATGCAGAAAGGATCTTGTTATTACATTTAGGAACTTAGTACCTATTTGCTAGACATTCTGACATTATAGGATAGCAAGGCTTTATTTATAGATGAAATCCCCTATTATAATGGCTCACATTTTTTAACAATGATTTTTCATTAGAAGTTTTCTTTGTGAAGTATGCTCGACAAGTCCTTGTTTACCTTGTGAAATACTTCTCTCTTCCTTGTGATGTTAAAGGATGGATTGTATGCATTTACAAAACAGGTTTTTCATCTTTCCTCTGAATCTCTATTGCTACACTTCTGATATTTGAACTTAAACTTTTGTTTCTTGAAGTGATTCTTTCACCAATAATATCTAGACCTCCTACTTTCTTTCCTACTGTCTCTTCATTTCACTTAGTTAACCTCCAATGCTACCATACAGAATATGGTTTTCAAATATTGTTACAGTTAGACACAATGTCAGGCTTCCTCTCACTCATGATAACTCTTTAACTCTAGTCTTCTTGATAATACCCTATGTATGTTTGCATATGTGAACTTTATGAATGAAATTTTGTCTTTCTTTACCTTGGTTTTGGTTTGATTTTTGTCTAATCTGTGTTTGTATGAGAAACCATATAGTATGAAGTACTTTAGAAGATATTCTAATTCTAGTTTATAGCAAAAAATAAAAATGGCTATACAGCCCCTCCTCACTAACGATGGAGTTCCGTTCCTAAGACCATGTTGTTTTAGTTTAATATGTTTATTATGCACGTTGGTAAAAGAATTCATTGCTAAGCAAGGAGCGTAGTACAATGGTAGTGGGTTTGTGTCAACCATCTTTGATATTGTTTTAATGTAACCTTTGCACCATTTATAACATTTTTAGTATACGTATTTCTAAATGTTTATACAGTAGCTTATTGTATATTGTAATAAGCAAAATAGAGGAAATCAGCTCTAATATACACTATTTAGGTATGCATACTAGTCAAAAAAGCCTGTCGTAAATCTGAGTCGTTGGTAAACGAGTACGTTGCTAAGTGAGGAGAGGCTGTATTACCAATTATAAGATAAATCATAATGTACTACTATACAGTACAGTACTAGTATTCTGAAATTTTTTTTTTTAACGCACTGGCCATCTCCCACTGAGGTAGGGTGACCTCGTCATTCACTATCGCTGTCTTGTCATCTTGTTTAGATGCCCCTCTAAATTGCAAATATCCCCACCACATCCTTCAAAGTACTTCCCACCTCCAGGACTCAAATCCGGTTAACCAGTTTCCTTGAATCCCTTCACAAAATGTTACCCTCCTCACTCTCCAACAGCTCATCAAGTCCCCAATACCATTTGCCTCTACTTGCTTCTAACATGTTTACCCTCCCTCCTTTCCTTCAACCTTCCCTAAGGTGACCCCTACCCCTAATCTTAAATAAATAAGCATAAAACATACCATTCTGAATCTGTGAGACTTTCCTTGCAATTTCAGAAATGACTTGATTTCTCCACTTTTCAGCTTCTCGAAGATCTTCACACTCGGAAGCCAAGTAAGGTCGCCGGGTTTTTTGTTGTTGGCTGCCTCCTTCCTGTGCTGCTCGCCACCGTGCCAATGTAGTCCTGTGAATTGTGTAAAAATGTAGCTGACACAATCTACAGTAAAAACTTTTTTTTTTTCAGGTCACCCTGCCTCAGTGGGATACCTGGAGTTACCTGGTTAGGGTTTCGGGAGTCAACACCCCCGCAGACCGGTCTGAGACTAAGCCTCGTGGTGGATCAGGGTCTGATCAACCAGGCTGTTACTGCTGGCTGCACACAAACTAAAGTATGAACCACAGCCCAGCTTGTCAGGTACTGACTTTAGGTGCCTGTCCAGCGCCTTCTTGAAGACAGTCAGGGGTTTATTGGTAATCCCCTTTATGTATGCTGGGAGGCAGTTGAACAGTCTTGGGGCTCTGACACTTACTGTGTTGTCTCTCAGAGTACTCATGGTGCCTCTGCTTTTCATTGGGGGAATGTTGCATCTCCTGCCGAGTCTTTTGCTTTCATAGGGAGTGATTTTCGTGTGCAAGTTTGGTATTAATCCCTCTAGAATTTTCCAAGTGTATATTATCATGTATCTTTCTTGCCTGCATTCCAGAGAATACAAATCAAGGGACTTCAACCATTCCCAGTAATTTAGGTGCTTTATCGTACTTATGTGTTCTGCAGGTCAGTAATTTCGCCTGCCTTGAAGGAGTCAGTCAGTGTACAGCAGTATTCCAGCCTAAGGAGAACAAGCAATTTGATGAGAATCATCATGGGCTTGACGTCCCTAGCTTTGAAGGTTCTCATTATCCGTCCTATCATTTTTCTAGCAAGATGTGTAAGATATACTGTTGTGGTCTTTGAAGGTGCAGCCAGACTGCTGATAAAAAAAATCTACAGTAATGAACCTACGCTAAAAAAATTTCCATCTTGAGCAAGCCTTCAAGTAATTACGTTTTAAGGGGTTTTACTATTACAGTACAGTATATTTCAAAAACTAAAATGAAATTGAAAGGTTTAGAATTACAGCACTGTATCATACTATATATATATACATGTATATTAACCCTGTGACTGTCGCAACCCCAAATCCTGAGGGGTCTCCTGGTGTCACAAAATTCCTAAAAAAAAAAATTATTTTTTTCTTATGAAATGATAGAGAATCTTTTCCCGATTGTAATAACACCAAAAGAACAAAATTTGATGGAAAACTGGCGAAATTACACTCTCGCGAGGTTAGTGACCTTGGCAATACTTACGAATCGGCGATTTCGCCCACTTTGAGCCCTATTTTCAGCTAATTCCATTGTTCCAGTCGACCAAACTCATAGCTATTTCTTTAGAACTCCATTTTTTGTATCAATTGAGTACAAGAAACTGCCCATTTACTGATTTCAACTACTCAATAACGTGGTCAGAAATTTGCAATTTGGCCAATTTCACGAAAATTAAAAAGTATGACAATTTCAAAATAGGTTCCAGAATGAACAATGCAGACATTCCTGGCTCTAAAATAACATTTTCTTTGTTCATCAGTCACGTCTCCAGGCCCTTCTGATATTACTCTTGCTTTCTATTCTGAATTTTTATTCAAACAAAAAATAGAAGATTTACTGTTATGCAGACTACTGCAATATTGCAATAATTTTATAAATAATGTCAAACCATTCATGACTGCATATTAGAATGGCTACTCGGACATTTATTGGAAAATGACATCATTTGTTTACTTTTGAACCGGCAAAAATCAAACATTTCCCCTACTTTGAACTCCATTTTAAGGTTCCTTTCATAGTAAAACCAATCAAAATCACCTCTACAGTGGAACCTCAAAAATCAAACTGCTCCCAACACAACCAATTATGTAAGTGTATTTTTGTAAGTGCTTTTATAAGTGTATTTTTAAGGGTCTGAAATGGACTAATCTAATTTACATTATTCCTGATGGGAATAAAATCATTCGGTAAAGGCAGTCGAACAGACTTCTGGACCGAAGAAAGTTCAATATTTGAGGTCCCACTGTAATTCTATAATATGTTTTTCATTCTATCAAATGAGACCAAGAAAACGAGAATACAACCATAAATACTATACGAAAATAGACAACAAAGTCAGCATTTCAAAGTCCCAGTTTTTTTTCTCATTATGCACTGCATGCTGCAGGATTTATTTTATATGGTGCACACTGACCACACAGACCCATTCTCTCACATGTGGGCCTACCAGCTTTCTCCTGCTTGATTTGAAGCCGCTAGAATTTATGAGTATACATACGTCAAAAACAGTGGCTCGTAAGACGTATATATACGACCAAAACAGTCAAAGGGTTAAACATGGTCAGAAATGTTACACGAGACCAAGGCCATGCTGACTTCTCAAGTGTATTTTTGCAGATTCTAGGTTGTCATGTACAGGTACCATCCGACTTACGACAAAGTTTGGTTCTGACCAAACGGTCATAAGTCAAAATGGACGTAAGTTGAACCTTACTACCGAATATCAACGTCACACTTTGTAATGATTTTAATTTTATTGCTTTATTTTGGTACTTTCATTTTTTAATTTTATTTTTTATCTGTTAGAAACTGAATTTATACTGAAAAGGGTTAAAGGATAAACACTTTTTACAACACAAACATTTTTTTTATTTTTAACCACACGGGGCCGTTTCCCCACCAAGGCAGGGGGGCCCCAAAAAAAAAAAAATTTTCCCCAAATCATTAACTCCATCACAGTCTTGCCAAAAAGGGGTTTTTTTTTTCCCCACTACAGTTTTTAAACTGCCAAACATTAAACCCCTCCTTCAGAGTGCGGGCACGGTATTTCCCCATCTCCAGGCCCTCAAGCCGGGGCCTCCCGGGTTTCCTGAATCCCTTCAAAAATGTTACTTTGCTCACACTCCAACAGCACGTCAAAAATTAAAAACCATTTGTCTCCTTTTCACTCCTACAAACACGCTAAACGCATGCCCGCTGGAAGTCCAACCCCCTCGCACACAAAACCCCCTTTTACCCCCTCCCCCCAAACCCCTTTCCCAAGGCCAAACCCCTACCCCCCCTTTTCCTTCCACTACAAAAACTGATACACCTTGAAGTCATTTTTGTTTTTCGCTCCTTTCTCCCCTAATGCCGAACCACCTCAACAACCCTTCCTCACCCTTTTACAAAAAATTTTTGGGGAATCCCGCACCTCATCCAAACTTCCAAACTACAAATTTTCTCTCCCATTAAAATTTCAAAACCACACATTGCCCTCAGACATGCATCTCCACTGCCGCCGCCTTTTTCCCTCGCTGAAAACATAAAACACCCATGTTTTCCACACCCTAAAGAGCGTTGGTAAAACTTAATTTTTCATACTTTTCCCCCTCTTTGCCCCCAAGGGGACAAAGTTCTTTGGGTCCCACGGGAACTCCTAAGTGAAAACCCCCTCACTTTTTTTCCCTCATAAATTCTATGTTTCACCTCATCTTTCATAGACCCATCCCTGACACGTCCCCTCCCAAAATCAAAATTTACTTTTCCCCTCCTCCCCATACTCTCTCCCCCCAAATCTGATTTTCAATCTTTCATCACCAAATCTTTTTGTTACCCCTCAAAACCCCTTAAACTTTTTTTCCCCTGTATTCCCCTTTTTTTTTTCCCCCCCCTTTTTTTGCACACCCAAACCAAATTCATCCCCCAATCTCTGCAGCTTCTTTTCAAAACCCCCAAGAGCACAGTGTCTCAGCAAAAGAAACTGGGGACAATTTCCCACTTTGTGGTGATTTTTATCTTTTAACTCCCGCCTCTTGCCAAGACCCCCGCATTTACTTTCTTAAAACCCCATCTAAAACAAAAAACAACCCCGGTGACATCACAAAACCTTTCAAAGGGCCCTCCCTTTTAAACGGGGAAAAAATTTCCCTCTTTCCTACATACCCAAAACTTGAGCCTCCCTTTTCCTCGTAAAAACTCTTCACTGTTTTAAAGAAAACCAACCCCACACCATACATTTTGCAAATCTCCCACATGCCCCCCTATCCCCCCTTCATACCCCCTTTTTTCCAAACCCCAAAAAGGGCCACAAAGACCTCTTTACCCTTTATCAAATACTGTTCACTTATATTTTTCACTGTAAACACCGGTCCACCCCCCCCCCCTCCCTTTTCCCAAAGGGCCCCCTTTATTACTGCTATCCAAATTCCCCCGTCTTCCCTTAATTTTTTCAATTAAAACCCCCAAACCAACACTTTACCGGGAAAAACTCAACAGATTTAAAACCCCCCCTAAAATTTTTTGCACTCTTTTTTACCCCCTTTTCCCTTTTAATACAAAGGAACTTTTAAAGCTCTCGGGGCCAACCCCTGGGTACCTTCCCCTCTTCCAACTTTTTTTAAAAAAATTTGCACAACCACCCAAAACTATACCCCCACCTGTTTTTTAAAAAAATTTCAAATCTTTTTTTCCCATCAACCCCGGGCTCCCTTACCCCCTTTCATTTTACCTACTGCCTCACAAAATTCCCCCACACTCACAACTGGCTCTTCCTCACTCCTACAAGATGTTATTCCCCCCCTTGCCCAAACACGAAATCACAGCTTCCCTATCTTCACAACTTTAAAAAAATTCCTCAAAATATTCCCTCCATCTTCCCAATACCTCTAACTCTCCATTTAATAACCTTCTCCCCTCCTATTTTTAACTAACGAATCCATTTGTTCTCTAGGCTTCCCTTAAAATTGTTAAACTCACCCCAAAACTTTTTTTTTAATTTTTAAAAAAATTTTTTTGGGAAAAAAGCTCCCCACTCTCTCATTGCTCTCTTTTTACATTCTTCAACCCCCTCTCTTAACCTCTCTCCTTTTTTCCAAAAACTCTTCCCCCCTTGCAACACTTCTACTTTGTAAAAACTTCTCATGTGCTAGCCTTTTTTTCCCCTTTCTACTCCCCTTTACATCACATTCCAAACCCAAACGCCCTTCCCTCCTGCACCCACTTTCCCCGTAACCAAAAAACTTCTGCTGAACAACTCTAACACTACATTTTTAAAAACCCACCCCATTCCTCTTCGAAACCCCCTTTCCTATCTCTATTAAACCCATCAAAACCCCC